TATAGTTTCTAGACGTCCTTTGGAGACCATCCTGGAATTTGGCCTTGTTTGACCTTATTCGACCCGAATGTCATGATCTAGGAACACAAAGCTTTGGCCTAGGAGAGTTCATGTACAGGTCAACTCACCCAGCAAACTTGGGTTGTCTCTAGCTCTCTCAGTTCCTGCGATCTCAGGGGGGGGGGGGCAAATTGACCCCCCACTCAAGCGAAAGAGTATCCAACGGGCCACCCGGACGCGTGTTAAGATGCGATCACGGCCACAGGTGTGCTCGGGACCGACAGCGCGGCTTGAAACGTCAAGTTTTAAAACTGGTGATCAGTAGTGTCCTTTTCACAAACTTCGTTCAACCTTTGTTTCCCTGGTGTACTGAGGGTCGGCTGTTGACAGCATACGAACTCCAAACGGGTATTTTTGAGATACCAAGGGTGACAACTCACTTGTAACATTCGCATTGCCAATACACTGATGCGGCATTAGACCGTTGGTGCTTAGTATACGTAATATGATCTTCGACTGATGAACACCTGGTTATTAAAACCAGTGGGTGTATCATGGACATTACCCTGGATGAATTCGTAGTGTTCTCCTATAAGTATGGAAACTCACGCTCTGACGTTGAGGATTATCAAGATGGTAGCTTTCGGCATTAGCGTGGTTCTAATAGGGGCCTGATCTATTTGCGGCATGACTAATCATATTGCGACAAATCCACAAGACGTTGCATTGCATTGCAGGACACAAGCATTAGTATCAAGTAGAAAACAGTAAAATCCATTTAAGCCGCTGAATCGTTGCTCGCATAGCAAACACCTAAACAGTTGCAGCAACCCACACGAAGCCACAGCGTTTGTGCAGAGTGACACGACTCGACTGCAGGCAATGGCTCATTCGGTTTCAGGCATCGTGCCCTATTACACCAGAACTTCTTCATCAGGTCAGCAAAAGTCATTCACCAGACTTACGTATTTAGAAGACTGTGTTGTCGTGTCTTCGATCCAGTAGCACAACACTAGGATGATGTTGTTGACCAGGTAGTACATGCAAATGCCGGGCTCCGAAGAAAAAGGCGTGTTTGTCGAGTTGGAGGCAGCTGCCGTCACGTTTTTCGCCAATGCATCTTCCATCCACGCATCCATCGACGATCATGGATGCATTGAAGCACTCTGCGTCTTTTATGGCAGTTACTCCATATCCCGGAAAACTATCCGAGGCTTGTGCGATAGTTATCGTGATCAGCAGCAGACCTGAAAACAATGCCGGGGTCTAGGGATGATCGTTCTTAAGCTGAACATTTTACAACATAAAATCGTGTCACGAGTGGGATAATTCCTCGGGGGTGTTCGTCTGGTTTTACTGAGTACGGCAACGACTGGACGACCCACGATATATGATTTTCGCGTCACAGTCCGAATTCTCACATCGGAATTGCCGCGATAGCCACGTTGGACACGTCAGGAGTAATCACATTGCCCCCCCCCCCCCCCCCCCCATACCAATTCGCGTTACAAAAATTGCATATCAGGGTCAGGATTAAGGCGTAAGACCCTTGCTGTTCGCCTAAGGCGAACCAAAACCCCGTTTGGAAGTTTGTAAGCGGGACAGGCCAGCCAAATAGCTTTCTAGCTATTGTTTAGGTAATGTTCGTCATTTGAGAGAAATAAACAGCTACTAGCAAAGGAGGTACACAAACGATGCTCTCAAGCGACATAAGTAAACGGAAAATTGCTCACTATTTTGCGGAAAGAATCGAAGTGAATGTCTGGTAGGTCTTTTCTCAGTAAATTTCTGGGGCAGCTATTAAAAAGTGGTGGACGTCAACATCCGTTTTCTGAGTCAAAGGTGTGCTACGAAGAGGGGGCTTCGTGCAACCCACCTGCTATGGTGGTTGCTTTCTCCAGGTGCACAATTTTACCCGCTCGATTCATCCTGTTTCCAATGAGGAGAACCTCTCCGCCCAGGAAGGCATTTCAGGCGATGGAGGAGGGGGGGGGGGGGGGCATTTGACTCCCCAGATCACGTTTTAAGAACTGATAAGCTCCGACTGACGTCCGATCCTGGCAGCGGTGATCGCGGGCATCTGCAGTGAAACGACTGCGGTCGCGAAGGAGCTCAAACCGATCGGACGTCGGCGACCGCGAGATTAACTCACGATTTGGGCCTCCTTGACCACTGCCGGCAGCTGATGAAGGTTCCACCGAGACACACTGACCATGGCGACGCGCCAAGCCTCACCGCCGCTTGACCTGCGGCGCGAGCAGTCACGCGGTGGGTCACGCGTCGGAAGATCCTGCCACGCCAAAATCTCACTGTCCGGGTTGCGCGTCGCGCGCCACACCCACGCCGCCCCTGCGCCACGTCTGTCCCCCGCGGCGTTGGACGGCGATAGCGGCGCAGCGCCGGACGCTTGCTGTTGCGATGATCTTGGCGCTGATAACCGTGTATCGGCAGCAGCAGTGCGGGCCGGGCACCGCGAGCTCTTCGACTCTCGAGGCCCACCGCCGATATCGGGTTGATATCAGCGCCTGATACGGTGCCTGTGGGTTATGAGGTCGGCCGGACGCGCTGTCTAGCCGGTCGCAGCAGGAAGTGTGTCGGCTAGACGTCAGACAATGGTGCAGATGTGAAGGCGACCGGTTTGTATCACCGCCGACTGCCACACCTTGCGGAGCACGAGCTTGCTTTAAAGAGAGTTATCTGAGAGAAAGACCCGCATTTGCGGATATTCCTTATTCCCCCCGCCCCCCCCTCGGTTTAATTTCCTCAAACATCCATCAAGCAAAGGTGTTTGACAGATGAGACACGCATGCCTACGTACATGGCTTGAGACCAGACCGACACGCCCGTAAAAAACCTGCTGTGGCAGGCTAGCAAACGCAAGCGCAAATAATTATCGCAGTTGACACGTTGCAAAACCCAAAAACTAGCTAACAAGGCTTGCAAACGCTGGGTTCCCAAGGTGGGGTTCCATCTTCTCTCGGAAAAGCGACGTCTAACGTTTTCCCTGGCTGAGGCACGTTGACGTTCTCCCTGGCTTGGGCACGGTGACGCTCTCCCTGGCTGGGGTACGGTGACGCTCTCCCTGGCTGGGGTACGGTGACGCTCTCCCTGGCTGGGGTACGGTGACGCTCTCCCTGGCTGGGGTACGGTGACGCTCTCCCTGGCTTGGGTACGGTGACGCTCTCCCTGGCTTGGGTACGGTGACGCTGTCCTCAGTTGCAGTATAGGGACCTGCACACCGCATGGCAATACACTAGCAGTGGCGTAGCCGATGGATTTTTAGGGCCTTTAATGCAAGGCGCCTTCGGGCTTCTACTGAAAACAAAAGCATTGACGTGAATGGATTCGTTTGTATTTGAATGGAATGTTTCCCTTCTCATTTCATAAAATTATTTGTGCTCTTTGCTCCAAGAATTATGTGGTTTTGCCTGATGAGTTCGGGGACTGTATAATGAAAAAATGACGAAGACGTCACCAGAGTACGTCAGCTAACCGTTTTCCTCGGATTTGGCCAACTATATTCTCAAATTCTTTAAGTTGGGGAAGGGCTGTAGGGCTGGCACCCAAGATAGGGGAGCTGAAACCATCCTCCTTCCCCCCTCCCACCTCAAGTGAACTGGAAATAATAAACCTGGCTCCAATGTGACATTGGGGCTTTACGACGCACTCAGCTGCTGAGGCTGTGTGGCGTCGCCTGCCTCTCACCCTGGCAGGAAAGGCGGGCGACCGCAGGGAATGGAACCCCGTACCTGTGGCTTCCCAGACGCGCAGTGGTTGTCACAGGCGCGTTAACCACTACAATATCTGCACCCAAGCCAGGCTTCAGGAGTCAGTCTTCCACCCAAGCCAGGCTTCAGGAGTCAGTCATATTCAACTTATGATTATGAACAGTGGCAGAAGTCCAGCTGCTGCTGCTGTTGATGCTGCCGCTACTGCGGCTGCTGCTGCTGTCCGGAATGGTCCAGATCTCTCGATATCCATGTTAGGCACTGGCTCGAGATCGGTCTGTTGCTGCTCGAAATGCGTCACTGAATCCAGCATCGTCCGTGGTCGTTTTTCGGCGGGGTGGGTGGCGGAGCGACGGTCAAGCAATGCTCCAGCCGTACATCATGCAACAAATGTGCACCATAACCTGCAATGCTTCATGCAACAAACAGGGAATTTCCCATCGACACCTCGTTTTTAACGTTGGCGGCGGACAAGCGCCACCTTGTCTACAGCTAGGGATCAGGGATCAAACGCCACAAGCGAAGTCACACGCGTGCATCTGCATGAAAGATGGGAATCCAGCCCAACGCTGTCTTGATATACGCCACCTTCATTCTGAACATTCCCGTAAGATATCCTGCTTGGTGTCCTGTGCATTTGTGAAAACTCGCAATATGTCGAATTTGATGTTCTGTGTACTTGTGGAAACTTCTGAACGAGTGGTGCGGTGCCCCACGTGTTCCCGTGTAAGGTATTTCCAAAACTATGTAGAATAAGCTTTACTTTTTGACCCTCATGTCATGCTTTCAAAAGTTCGTAGCACTACGCATTTTGTGGAAGACTTCGCATATTGGGAAAGCCCAAAGACTACCCATATGGAATTGTAGCGAGTTGGATTGGAAAAATCACGAACGCGGGCACGTGGATAGGTAAGACGTTTACGTAATGTCCGGTGGAAACCTCAGTAGATATTATACAATGTCACTGCCAGCGCTTCTTCAGCCATGATTTGTGCTGTTATGAACTTCTGTTATCACTATTTTTGCTATTATGAACGCTTGGTAAGTAGCTTTGGGCGCAAACCTTCCTGTAATTCGTCTATAATTTAGGACTAAAGTCCTGAGAAAGTGTGTGCGAGTGGGTATCCGGGGAGTACAACTGATCTTGAATGGACAGCTGGTGTGTATGCGCCAAGCCTCATGGAAAGAGGATGAATTGAATAGAGAAGACCTTACCCTATAAGGCCTGTGGCATTTCGATTGTCCAGCTCCCAGCACGATGTCCGCTGATTTATTTTTAGTTACGTCGCATGTCCCAAACGCTTGTTTTTCCAGTTGCTCTGGTAAATCATTTCTCGTTTTCCCGTTGTCCAATTCACCGCCTCTTATTTTCAGTTTGAGTTCAAGCCGCGCACGATTGGGCTCATTTTCCTGATGTACTCGGTGGCATACGGCGTGGCGTCGCCAATCTCCGGCCGGCTCAGTGACGTTATAAATAATCGGCTGCTGCTGATTGGCTGTGCGCTGGTGCTGACGTCACCAGTGCTAATATGCTTCTCACCGCCGACGCTCCTGGCCTTCATACCCAGGTGAGGAAAACTAATTTGCCGACTCGCTTACCGAAGATGTTCACAGTGGTTACCAAGAAAGTATCATAGAAAAAATTGGACAGTCCACAGCACAGAACTATCAAAGCTCGCTCGTGCTCTCGGGTGGCATCAAGACATTCTGTGCCACATCAAGTGCACAATAGCACTTAGTGGCATTTAGGCATTCTTGCAGGTCTGTGGCTTGATATTGACGTGTAATTAGTGACATCACCAGACACTAGGACTTAGAGGTCGATGGGGAAGATGAGCGTTAAGTCACTAAAAGTTGCCCCAAAGATTCTGCCCTCCAATTCGTGACGCGCACCTTATCCAACGGCGACAGCTTCCTGTTTCCGGTCCGCTATTTACTACAGTCTCGCTTTTTCAACGGGCAGTCATAGGCTGCCTGTTATTTGCCTGTGGGCAAATAGCTCAAGGGCCATCAAGGACCAGCACGATAAGTGGATAACAGACAGCATATTTATGTTAAGTATGCTCAATCAGAGCGTTCCGAATGATGCGGCGCCGTACGGTATTTCTCTCGGCAAAACGTAGGCTGGTTTTTGGAAGAAATGATTTTAGATAACTGGCCCATCACGTTCTTTTTCAAACATGGCTACTCTGCATGATGGTAGTTATAATAGTAGTATAAGGGTAGTAACTTAATGATAGCTCCCGTTGGACAAGTGATATTTCATACGTTGTATCGTACAATAATGAATGATACATTCGAGCACCCAGTCACTGTTATCTTTATCACGCCGTACATACATAAACATGATCAAATATTATGTCAGAAACATTATGTTCAAATACATGAGTCGCAGCTGCCCTTTCCCGTAAAGCACTTTATGTGGTGCCCGTTATTCAGCAAAGCTGCCATCTGGCCTGCGGTGTACGAGTGAGTCCAAATGGTCCCAAAATAGACATTGCGCTTTCCCCATAGACCTGGATCCCTCTCCCCACCCGTCATCATGCGATGGTGTCACGATTGCAACGGATGGCGACTGCGGTGCAGTGACCGGTGGTCGTGGCTACCCCGCACTGCAGCAGCCGCTCTGCCGTGCGTACTGCCGCCCTGCAGTGCCGTGGCAGTCCCCCGCCGTGAACTGCTGCCCTGCAATGCCGCGGCAGTCCCCCGCCGTGCACTGCTGCCCTGCAATGCCGCGGCAGTCCCCCGCCGTGCACTCCTGCCCTGCAGTGTCACGGAATCCCCCGCCGCGCACTGCTGCCCTGCAGTGTCACGGCAGTCCCCCGCCGCGCACTGCTGCCCTGCAGTGTCACGGAATCCCCCGCCGCGCACTGCTGCCCTGCAGTGTCACGGCAGTCCCCCGCCGTGAACTGCTGCCCTGCAATGCCGCGGCAGTCCCCCGCCGTGCACTGCTGCACTGCAGTGCCGCGGCAGTCCCCCGCCGCGCACTGCTGCCCTGCAGTGCCGCGGCAGTCCCCCGCCGTGCACTGCTGCCCTGCAGTGCCGCGGCAGTCCCCCGCCGCGCACTGCTGCCCTGCAGTGCCGCGGCAGACCCCGCCGTGTACTGTCGTCGCCTGACGCCCCGCCGCCCGTCGGCAGTGACCGGCTGTGGCTGGCGCTACTCTGCCTCTGCCTGGCCGCCGCCCTGATCGCCGCCACCATGGTGCCGACCTTCGGCGTGCTGCGGGACATGCTCAAGGGGTGAGACCCTGAGCCCGGCTGAACGCGTCAGAAGCGGGCTGTGTGCTGTGTGGCGGTCAGTCACCTCTGCTCATCGCTCCTCTAGGGAAAACCCTGCAGTGTATGGCGATGGGTAGCGGATTTGCTTCTTTTGGTTGTTAGGTGATGGTTCCGCCGTTGCGTGGTGGCTTGCAGAATTATGTGTGCTCAAGGGTGCCAGGTCGAGGCAATAGCCTCAAGTCGCTTTGATGCGCCCTTACCATTGTGCGAAAGGGGAAAACCTGGTTGTAAATTTGCCAGAGTCGTGCATTTCAGACTCTCGTTCTGCTCATGAATGAATTGCTGAGTCCCGGAAACTCTTTCACGGGTTCCGGCATTCAAACGAAATTTCACGCGAGTAGTGGAGAAATATTTCGGCTCCAGCTTCATGCCGGCAACCCTTAACCGTGCTGTAAGGTGGGCTCCCATTGCTTCCAGTGCCCACCATTTTTTGTTGTTGTCCCAGTCAGGGTTGGAATGTCGACTGGCCGACGATTGGTCGGTAAGCCGCAGGGTATGACCAGCTGACCCCGCTGACCTCTCTCACGAACCATGATGTTTGATGACCTTTGATTGACCTTCCGATGTAAAGCCTTCAGCTCAAAGCCCAAAGCCCAAAGCCCGAAGCCGGTGCCCCTCACGCGTCGGCTTGTGACGTCCGGATGGCTCTCGCCCCCAGTCCGGTCGGCCTGCCCGATGACGTCACAACGGACGCTCTGGTGTCGTCGGCCTTCCAGACCTTCTTCTACGTAGGGTACGTGTGTAAATGGGACGCACGGCTGCGTGGCGGTCGCCCTTGCTGCCCCCGCCGTTCAGAAACGTGCTGTGGTGGCTGCGTCGAGCGCGCAGGGAAATATCTATGTCTGCGCAGATTCTGTGATCTTGTCCGACTTCTTGAATTTAAAAAAAATCATTCATTCACATGGCTGCAAATGCAGCAGCCACTAAGAGCTAACGGCTGCAGCCGTAGTTTCATGAAAGTAGCATGAAACATGACAGTTTCGTAGCCCCGCTTCCGGAGTTCTACCTCAATCACAGTTTGGAAAACTAGCACAATGCTTTGTAATGTTCTTTGCGACCTGCAGATATGTTCGCACCCACCTGAAGGCGCCACTTGTGCTGGCGATCGTATAATAGAATGGTGGCCTTTGCTGCCACCTAGGCAAACGAGAAGGTGTTGTGTGCTGCCATCTGTGTATGGTATTTCCAGCTACGTGGTCGGACCTGCTGTCGGCGGACTCCTGGTGGACAGCATGGGCTTCAGCAACTCGGTTGTAGTCATCAGCGGTGTCGTCCTGTTCTGGGTGAGCAAGGAAGATACGCTCTGCGTTGCTAGGGGTCACATCCGTTCGGTCAGTGTCTTGACATACCGAATAGGGCCCGTGGACATCGTGAAAGATCTACCCTTATTGAAATACTGAAGACATTTAAGTTGAAATACAAAATCATTGTGAAATGTGGAGAGTTGTAATGAAAAAAGTATGCTTAAAAAGAGAGAGAGAGAGAGAGAGAGAGAGAGAGAGAGAGAGGAGAGAGAGAGAGAGAGAGAGAGAGAGAGAGAGAGAGAGAGAGAGAGAGAGAGAGAGAGAGAGAGGGATATATATATATATATATATATATATATATATATATATATATATACATATACATATAACTTCACTTCATCCCTCCCTGAAATGGGAGGAAGAAAGTAAAGTTGCGCTAGATACCAGAGGGATGGTGAGTTATTATGCTAATGAGAACCAACCCCTGATGTGCCAACAGCCGAGACACTGGTCAAAAGAGCGCGTCAATCACCCATGGATATACATTATGGAACACCCGAAGTCAAAGCAGTATTGATGGTCAGTAGCGGAGGCTAAGCAAAAATTAGGAGCAAAAACAGCAGGCCTCATGATAGAGAATGCTCTAGTTCTCTTAAGTCTCTGTCAATAAACAAGCGACCAGCTATATATGCTTCCACGTCCTTGTTATGTCATGCGTTGTTGCCCTAGGATTTCGAGGAGGATGTGCGAGATACTTAACTATGTCCATATCTGATGTCCATGGCGCATCCAGGGTCGATACGTGGCTACCGCCATGATTTTGCGATGCTAAGTGCATGCCATCGTGTAGCGTGGTTTGAGCAGTGCTGTTCAAACACGATGCGCTTACTTCTGTTTTATTAGTCACCGGGGCTGAGCGCCGGCATCCTCACTAAGTTACCTGTAAGCCTTATACTTGGTGCGGGGCATCGAGACCCCCCAGCTTAGCCGTGAATGATAAGGTGAGTCAAAAATGGTACGCATCGGCCACTTAAATACGGAAACTAGTGGGACTCATTATTATTATTTCTTGTCATTTTGTGTTGCCATTTATCGCATCGTATATCTGCTTCTTGTCCACAGTAATGCTAAATAGCATCGCTCTGCCAAGGACGCTAGTTTTATGCGTCCTGTATTCTACCCAATCTTGATCACCTGGGACTATGAGCCAGTGAACTAGAATTGCCTTTGAAATGGGATGGGAGTGGAAATTTCCATCGCAAAAAGATCGTGCAAGAGTGAAAAATTCAGTTTACAAAAGATAGAACATGAGTCAGTGATAGATGCTCCGACAAAGACATGCATTTAAAGTTGGCTTAGACTCGATATAATAAACATGACAAATTATTTTCTCACATCAGAGGTCATTACACTGAAACAGAACGCATGAAATAATGGTAATTTCATGACAGTGTGGTGAGCCTAAAAAATATGCAACACCAATGTTTTGGTGCTGTTTTTTTGTAAAACATTGTATTCAACTCATTTTACTACAAATCTGTGAAAATGAGTGCACAAGTGATGACATTAAGCTTTTAAATCTCATTTAGAAGGCACTTCTAAAAATTTGTATTTCTACACTTCAAGAGTGGTGCAATTTGGGGCCCAAGTTTCTTCAAGAAAAGAAATGCGTAGAACAAAATTCTCTACTAGGCTTTGTTAGTGTTTGCACCAGGCTTTGCTTTGCTAGTGTGGTGTTTCCATGGTGCTGCCCCCCAAAAAAGTGGAGATGCGTGAAAACCTTATATTTGGCACACAGCTGTAGATTGTGACGTATTTTATACACAAACCAAAATTGATGCACGTCAGCGGCTGGAGTCGTTGGGGCTCGCAGGCTTGAAGGTACCTGGTGTCATTGCTCTGTGCATACATAGACATGATTCAGATGTGCTTGATGTAGGATATAGCCATAATGCTTGGTGTCCAGGTTCTATGGGTCCTGGACATCTATGGTTGGTGGTTTTAAGTGGGCTTGGACTTGGATGATATCTTAAAACCTCTGGAAGGGAAATATGAGTTTAGTATCTGGGATAGACAATATCAGATAGGGGTGAACAATTCAGATAAAATGTGGTAAAAGGGGTGAAAAATCCCTCCTCACAGGATGTTGCCTTGCACCCAAAGTCGGCAATTACCGGACATTGCCATGAGCACCCCGGCACTGAACGCAGTTCGACCCTCAAAAGCATTGTAACCCTGCGTGGAGATTTCCGTCTCCACCCAAAGAGTTTAGAGTCGTGAACCACTGAGGCTCGTCACCTTAACTGCACGTGTCTCGTTGTCCTGCTCGTCATTTGTGAGCTACCCGCCCGCCATTGTCGCTGGCGGTCAACCGGTCAAAGGTCAACTGGTCAAAAATACGCGGGTGTTTAGGAACACCGTGTTAAAGCCCACGAGGAGCGATGTGGGCAAGAGGTGAACCCAAGCCCAGATGATTCCGCAAACTCGGCCTCTGCGGATAGGCTTGCTCTTCGCATGTGACACGTTTCACTTGGGGGTGACGATGTCATGGGGGCTGAAGCTGTGAAGGGGGTGAAGGGGGCGAAGTTGTCATGTCGCTGCACCGGTGATGATATCGACTCAGCTTTCCGCAAAGGAAGAACAACGCATTGCGCAGAAATTGTGTATCCTCTCCCTACGTTGTGCACACCACGCGCCGGCACCAGACGGCGACTGGGTTATGCCCAGCCCGCGCAGCGCAGCCACGATCTTTTTTCTCACAAAACATGGCTCGTCTCCACTAGTCTACCCGTCCTCCAGTCCACGTGGGTATACGAAAGAGGCAAGCTTGCTTTTCTTCCTTTCCGAAGAATTAATGAAAGCATTCCATGGCATTTACAGTTGATCCTGATAAGCTTTCCTAGTATTAACTCGGGGCCTCAGATGAGCATTAGGGAAACACATGCCACGTTTTTCTGTATGCAGTCAGTCTGCTCCCAGAAAGCTCTCCTTCGCTGTCCGACTTTGTCGAAATTGTACGATGTTCGCACGCCGCTGTCTAACAGCAATGCGCAACAGACCGGCATAATTCAAACCACCCACCAGCGGCTCTTCGACGCAGAAAATAATGAAAGATGGACACGAGTTGGTTGACTCCGTGGGTCATTGGGCGTTGAATGAAAACTGGACTTTTAAGCCCATTGAATGTGAGTTTGTGCCTTTACTCACTTCTGCTGTGTGAGGCGATGCTGGGAACGTTGTCACGTTGCCACTGTCCAGGGCTTTTGAGCCACCTGACCCACGCAGAACTGGTGGCGATACTGGGTGATGAAATTTGACCCACGCCAGACAGGCGCACAAACCATGGACCTCAAACGTCGGTAAACCTGTCTGCAATAACTATTTGGAGTCCATACATGCATATGTATCCATGAACAGTGGATATACTTGCCTTTCGTGTGTAAACGCGCAGTAGTTTCGTGAGATTTCGCAACGATTCCCTGTTACATTCTTTCGATTAATGCTTTCTGGTATCATTAGGTTGGCAATCAGCATGATGACAACTCACAATAACGTAAAGCTAGGACCTTAAGGCCACTACTGCTTACATTTACACATGAACAAAAGATGGAGCAAGCGTATGGTCACAGCGCTCATCACTATCTCATTCGTCTGAAGTTCATGTCTCTATATATATAAATATATGAATATATATATATATATATATATATATATATATATATATCTCTCTCTCCTCTCTCTCTTCTCTCTCTATCTCTCTCTCTCTCTCTCTCTCTCTCTCTCCTCTCTCTCTCTCTCTCTCTCTCTCTCTCCTCCTCTCTCTTTCTCTCTCTCTCTTCTCTCTCTCTCTCTCTCTCTCTCTCTCTCTCTCTCTCTCTCTCTCTCTCTCTCTCTCTCTCTCTCTCTCTCTCTCTCCTCCTCTCTCTCTCTCTCTCTCTCTCTCTCTCTCCTCTCTCTCTCTTCTCTCTCCTCTCTCTCTTATCTCTATTGATGTCACTCTCATCGCGAAGTACGGTATTCGCCTGCCAGTCTTGATCGCACCACCTTTGATAAATAACTCATTCAGTCGGGCTCTGATCGACTGAACACTAATCAAACTCTGATGTCACCGTAGACATGTTCGTGACGCAGTGTGATGAGTTATGACGCAACGGTGTCCTCTACACCTTCGCAGCACGCGCCCGTGCATGACGTAATATCCTGACGCTGAATGAAACTCCAAGCGATTCCCCGCTCCTGAAATTGCTGCATAGTCCGCGTCGGTGAATGCAGTCATTTGTCTCGACCCGTAATGATCGTTTTGTGGAATCGATGCGTCGTGGTCACTGTGCCCGGGGAGGATTTGTTGGCTTGGCATACGTGACGCTGTGCACTTAACGCTTCCCAAGCAAACTCTCTTACCCATGTCACCTCTAACGCCACCCTTTTCATTCCTGTCCACTTCCCTTCCTGCCTTTCATGATTGACGATCAGTCTCTCACAAATCATCTAAACCTCTGAAGTTTGACTCCGACTCCACTCTGCCTGTTCTGGTGTGTGGACTCCGCCTGCCCTGCCCGCTTTCACTCAGCGGGACCGCCGTTCCACAGGGCGTGCTCTCGCTCATCACGGGCTCCGTGCTCGCCTGCCAGCGGCCCAGCCCCGCGCCCCGCACCCCCCTGGGCGAGGAGGCTGGCGAGCCTTCGCCACTGATCACCGCCGCGGCGCCGTCGCCGCCGCGGCCTCCAGCCGCCAAGCGGCGGCCGGAGAACCTGGACCTGTCGCGCCTCTCCATCCGCGACTCGGGTGGCTACAAGAGCTTCCTGCCCGAGGTGGGCAGCCTGAGCCCGCCGCTGGAGCGGGCGCACGGCCCGCTGGCGGCCGATCTGGCAGCGCGGCAGGCGCACGTGGCGGCCCGGCCAGCTGAGGCCGACCCCGAGTACCGCATCGCTGAGATGATCAAGAACGCCGACCTGCGAGAGCTGCAGGAGCTGCTCAAGAGCCCGCTTGACACGCCGCCGCTGCCCTGGTGACACTGCTGGTCACTGGGGACACCAGCTGCCTGCTCTTGTCGTTTAGTGACCGTTGCTGACTGAGGGCGACCAAGGGTGTCATCTGAGGATTGCTGATAATCCCTATAGATCCTGGTCGCCCCCAAGGGCCTTTTGACGATGACCACTGATGCCATTTCGGAAGGCGTTGGTGAGGCCTGGTGACCAAAGGTGGCCAGTGGTGTCGCGTGGGGATTGCCGGCTGTCCTTTTCATCTTCGGTGGCCCAGGGTGGACCCGGTGGTGACGACGCCATGGCTGCTGGGGTTATCCGGTAACTTGGTGATCCCGCACGGCCTCGAGTGATGGCATCACATCATGATACACATCATGTGTGCTCATCACAGATACACATCATGTGTGCTCTGTGTGCTACTAGTTACTGAGGGTGACTGAGCGTGCAAAAGGAACGAGATGGCGTGGTGATTAGGTGGCTTTAATAAGCTGTTGCCAAACTGGGTTGCAGTCCATTGCCACAACAGTGCCGCAAACAAGGGCATAGTGAGAGCTTGTAAACCATGTTTGTTGCGTTTCCTGTGCACGATGGAGTGCGGAGTTTTCTATCAGTGACATCTTATAACGATATTAGGTACCAGAAAAGCGAAACGCATTTGTTAATTTGCCGCGCAAGACGCCGTGACTGCTCTTTTGTTGAGGATTCCAAAGCTAGCGGGATCCAGATGCGTATAAGTCACGTGTCAGTGACAGAAGCGCGGCCCTTACTTCGTGAGGGCCGCACGTATTTGCCGAGCCGCGGGATATATGCCCGACTGACTCGGCGATACCTGACTAAAATGTACCTGGTTTCCTCCGGGCGAAATGTGCCAAGAATATCGGTAAGTTGGAGAAGAAAGTGCGTGTCCTTAGCACTGCAATTATCATTCAAGCGTTGGTGACAAATTGCATATTACGGCCTTTATTCTTTGAAGTTTTTGTGTCGTAGAAATTCGTGTCGTACTCGGTGCGTGATCTTTAGGACATATCCAAATAAATCACACCGTGCCCCTTCCATAAAGGAACCTCGACTCTTATTTCAATCTGTGGAGCCGCCACGCAGCACATGACCGACCGCACCTGCTGCTTGGGTGTGGAAATATTTATAATTTGTATAGCCTTGGAGGCATCTACTGTCTGCGACGGCGAACTTCGTGGATACCAGCTGTCTAACAGATGAACACAGGTTGCGCGGTGCAGCAGCTTTCAGCATTTAAAAGCACGAGACTGGCTGCGGAAGCTGAGATGATCTCAGGTGTTTATTCCACTTTCACACCACGACCATCACTGTCAAGCAGCTGCCTCGCTTTTCGCGTAGCGCCCTATTCTGTGTGCGTGCGCAGAAAGCAGGCACAGTGCCCTTTACGCATAATCAGCCGCTGACAATGAGGGAATTAAGGTTTGTGCGGATAGTCCCGCACAATGAGCAAGAACATGACAGCAATTAAACATTTTTAAAGGAGAATTGCACGCACTTTCAATAGACGCTATATTATGTCTCAAAAACCTCGCCCCCTCGCCATCTTAAGTGAAAAGGCTTCACTTGGAGTGATCACATGAAGTGATCTCCCTGTCAGTCGCGTTTGGCAGCCGGCCGGCCGCTGCCACTAGCCTGGGCGAGCGCCTCCACCTTCCGCAGGGTCTCCTGGGCGTTGAAGCGTTCGCGCGCGCTACGCAACAGCTTGTACTCATCCAGCGAGCTGGGTGCCTGTGCCAGCGGGTGCCAATGCTCCGACACGAGGTGCACGCCCTGAGAAAGGTCATGTGACAGAGGTCGAGTCACAATGTTCAGGTCCGGTCACGGCATTGAGGGCAAGTCACGATGTTCAGGTTAGCAACCAGTTTCATGAGGAGAGAATGACGTGCAATTCTGGCGTGGGGAGTAGTAACTTCATGTGCTCTGACTTCGAATCCGATTGCATAGAGTGAGCGCGAACTACTTGCTTTAACGCCCGCAAAATCATACTATTTGCGAGGATATCTGAAGTAAGGAGTTACTCCGTCCTTCGCCAAGCATCCATCGGGTTTCATAAATGCATTTGATTTGAGCAAGAAGTAGATATTCACTTCGAAAATGAAGTAAAACAAAAAGGTGCTCTGGCCCATCGTAAACTCAGCAGCGGTGATCGTAGAGGAGCCGGCGCATGGCCGGGCAGCAGCGGAGGAACGGAATATTTAGACGCAGAATTAACCTGCAATGAGACATTGCTGGGCTATGAAGCGATCAACTTATCGAGGGCTGATGTGTACGTATATGTGAGAAAATTAACTCAACTGCAGTTCGTTTTGAAACTTTATAAGTATCACAAACATATGTCAAGAACTGTGACGGATGGAGTTGGCAGGTCGGTTTGAGAACCTACCTCTTTCCCACATGCAGCGGAGTTCGCGAGATTTTGATTTTCTTTCTTGCCATGACGGGAACAGGCATGAAAGACGTATACAAAATGTGCAATTTAGATTAAAGATATAGTCAGCCATTTCAGGGAAACTTTGTTGTTTTGGTGTATATTGCCTTCACACGCAGTGCAAGGAAGCTGGACACTAGCCAAGCAGTTTTTTTTTACCTCTGGGAGTAGCGGAGCGATATCGAGAATTATAGAATGTCTGCATTGCAGATAATTAAAAAGACGATCCAAATTATCATATGAATTAATCGTCGCACAACTCACAAATGTATTACTGAGTTAGCCCATAAATGACCAAACCTTCTATGCCGCCGTAGCAATATGTCTGGATTTATCATAGCCATCTTAACACTTTGGGTCAGGTCACAGGATAGGGGGCAGGTCACCTGAGTGAAATCAGAGCGCACGGCAGCACATGGGAAGGATGCGCGCTGTGCCGGTCTCCGATTGGTGGCCAAACGCTAGCTGGCATTGAGTGTGGCGACCCACTGCCGAATCTCCCAGCTGTTGGCTTATGACATAGATAATCCATAGCTATGTAACTAACCTAATGACTGTCTATTACCATGTCACAACTGTCGGCTCGTCTCATATCATGCGTCATATGTTGTATGTCATATCATATGTCATATCAACGTCATAACTGATCGCTTTGCTGATCATCAAAAAACTAAGAAGAGGAATCCGAGCATGCAGGATGTTCAACAATAATTCGGCATCGTTTGGAATATTTGATCTACCGCGAATCCAGGTGGAAGGGGCTAAACGTAAGCAATACCGAACCCAGCGAGGGGTTAAGGGAACAAGGACGGATGCAAGCCAGCAGCGATAAGTTGTGACATGGAACGTCCACAAGCCCCCCCCCCCCCCCCCCCCCCCAGTGGTGGTCGCGGGTTAAATACTCCCTCGAGTGCCACACTTATTTTAGACACTTACGCGTCTGCTGCTCTGGATTGCAGTACTGAGCGGGTTCGTGTCTTCTCAAAGCTCTTCGCGGACACCCGACCTCAACTCACATCTTGCCATTGGCTTGCGACTGTCAACCGTTGTCACTGTCTCACCATTGTCCTCTGTGCATTCTGATGACGCACTCATCCTGTCCGCGTCCGATATCTCACCGCTGATTTGTGTAGATCCTTGTCTAGAACTCACCGCTGGCCCGCCCATTCTCGCCAGACAACTCACCACTTCACCCAGTTCCCTTCGCACATTCCACCGCTGACTTGTGCGCGTCCACGTCATGCATCGTCCCATTTCACCTCGCACCCGTCTCGTCTCAGAACTCACTGTTTGCTCGTATCGGCGTGCCCGCCAAGTCCGTCGTCGCTAGGGTTTACAGGCGGCATAACGTTGATTTACGCTCGGCCGTCTCCCAAAAACCACAGTTAGTTTATGTCTGTCCTTCCCTCCCTCTCCCCAAAACCTACGGTCGGCATGTACCCGCCCGAGGCAAACGACTCGCTGTTGGTGTACGTCACGCTACGTCCCATGCTACTCGCTGCTTGCTTTTACACGTCCCGCATCACAACGTGGCGTTTCTTGGCTTGCATACGTCCTCGTCCTACAACGCTCTGGTGGGTTATATTCGTTCTACTCACACGGCCCACTGTTGGCTCATACCCGTCCCCGCCTAAAAACTCACCACCAGTTTTCACCCGTCATCGTCCTACAACTCGACGCTTCCTCACTCCCATCTCTGCCTGATACGGGCCGTCGATCTGCGCCAGTCCGCTCCCCAGAACTCACGGTGGGCTGGTAGCCATTCTCGTCGGTTCTCTCCAGAACTCACGCGGGCTGGTAGCCGTTCTCGTCGGTTCTCTCCAGAAGTCACGGTGAACTGGTAGCCGTTCCCGTCGGTTCTCCCCAGAACTCACGGTGGGCTGGTAGCCATTCTCGTCGGTTCTCCCCAGAACTCACGGTGGGCTGGTAGCCATTCTCGTCGGTTCTCCCCCAGAACTCACGGTGGGCTGGTAGCCATTCTCGTCAGCTCTCCCCCAGAACTCACGGTGGGCTGGTAGCCGTTCTCGTCGGTTCTCCCCAGAACTCACGGTGGGCTGGTAGCCTTTCTCGTCGGTTCTCCCCAGAACTCACGGTGGGCTGGTAGCCGTTCTCGTCAGCTCTCCCCAGAACTCACGGTGGGCTGGTAGCCATTCTCGTCAGCTCTCCCCCAGAACTCACGGTGGGCTGGTAGCCGTTCTCGTCGGTTCTCCCCCAGAACTCACGGTGGGCTGGTAGCCATCCTCGTCGGTTCTCCCCCAGAACTCACGGTGGGCTGGTAGCCGTTCTCGTCAGCTCTCCCCCAGAACTCACGGTGGGCTGGTAACCATTCTCGTCAGCTCTCCCCCAGAACTCACGGTGGGCTGGTAGCCATTCTCGTCAGCTCTCCCCCAGAACTCACGGTGGGCTGGTAGCCATTCTCGTCGGCGTGCCAGAGCACCTCGAAGCGGAAGCCTCCAGGCGCATCCCACTGGACGCGACCCTCGGTCACCATGACGCCCGTGTTGTTCTCCCGGCCGCCGAACATCAGGCCCACCTCCTCGTGCGCGATGCCGTTCGAGGTCTCGAACCTGCCGCACAGGTATGAGCGCGTGTCACACGTCAGGGTGACCGTGGGGCATCCCAGCGGGAATGGCGGGGAGGATAGAGGATGGAGTGAGCCGGTGTCGCAGTCTCAGCTAGGTGGGTAGTGGCAAGCGCAGAGTATGACTCAGCGATTTTGATTCATTATTGTTTCACATTTTCGTCTCTATAGAGGCGCTTTTTTGTTACTGAACCCCGACGGGCGGTATTTTCCAAAGTGAGGCAAAGAACAAGTGGCCGAAAGGGATGTGGTGACTAATGACGGTGAGCGCAACTGGCACTAGAGCGACGGAAACACAACTGGACTGTCCAAAACGCGATTCAGAAGTAAGGAACACTCCTGACACCCGTTTACAATGAAGCCAGGGGTGGACAGGCTGGTCACCAAGGCCGACGACAGTGAACTCGTTCACGGGAAGCGGCAGCAGTCTGAAACACAGTCAGCTGGCGTTGATCAGGAGGTTTTCTGGCCAGCGAGTGGTGCTTAGCAAGTGATCAAGACGCTCGACGTGCTAAGGGTTGGGAAGTGTACAATTGAAACGAAACCTGCAATGGACTGGCGATTAAACCGTAAATGTTACTTCTTTCATGAAGCTCGACGTTTGGGGGCGCGAACAACTGCCATGAAGCAGGAATGCGACGAGTAACACTTTTCTACGGCACTTCCGGATTATTCTAGAAGCTGAGCACACGTGACGCGGGGCAGAACCATACAGCATGACGCAGAGGTGAGGATTATGGGCTGCTCTCCAGGTTAGCGCGACTGCAGTCCCCAAGTGGAGTTACTTACTCAGATGGGGGCTCTAACTCCTCCAAATTTTTGTCAACCCCCTCCCTCAAACCTAGTTGGAGTTGACATGTAATTGGGGTGCCCGCTTTGCAGTCAACGCCTGTAGCCCGAGCGTTAGATTTTCCGAAAAACGGGAGGCTCAAGCCCCACACCCCTAGTCCCCATGCTCCCGACTCAGCGTCCGCCCTGAGCTCCCTGGCAAATCTGGCCTGCGGGGGGTGGCAGTGGCCAAGGCTGCTAGAGTAAAAGGCTACGTGGACGTGACGTCACCATGGCACTAAAGTTTGGTAGCCCGTAGGATGTATTTTGGTTGATAATTCGAAAGGGTTGGTAGAAACCGGTAACAGCTTTAAAAACTGAGATTTTGGTAATGAACTGGGTTGCAATTCTGTTGTACATCCTTATTATGCTGCTTTGTGAAAAGATATTCCGCATTTTGCATCTCGAACCCTCTAAAGACAAACCCATGATAGCATCTGCTTCTTAAAATAGATCCTACTGAACCACGTTTTCCAGCTCCAGCACCCGCACAATATTCGTCCTAATCAACGCGCCCGAATATTTAGATGCAATGTTTTTTTGTAAAATTAATGTTTTTGTGAAAATATATATCATATGTAATGAATATATTACATTCAATGATCGGCTTAGATTGCATATGCATCCTATCACTGCAAAACCTAGATGGAATGAAATGGGGAAAGAAGGAAATGAGAGGAGAACAGGTGCTACAATTTTGCTGTTATTGTGCTATGATCTTCCTAAACGCTGGTTGATTTGCACATCCATAATGTCAGATGGGTTAGGTGAAAATAGCGAGCAGGGAATATATATATATTATATATATATATATATATATATATATATATATATATAATACTCCGACCGCTCTAATATATCCCCAAAACTATTTCCTAGCTGAGATATGGGCCACCACTCTTTGACTGCCACAATTTGCAAAACTTGCCAGAAATCGTCCTATTTTACAGGAAAATCTGCTATCTTGAACTGAAATAGCGCGCGCTACATTTACGCCATCCGGAGTTCACTAGTCACTACCCACATTAGGGCAGGCTAACCATGCATTCACCCTGGCAACGCCCCTCCGAAGGCTATAGGATGTGCATTCCCACTTCTCAATGCGCGCCCAAGGGTGTTGCGAGCCCGTCTGGCCCGCTGTTTCTCACCCCCACCTTATGTTGTTGTTGTTGTATGTTGTGCTTTTTACACGGATTGTTTCTGAGCACTTCCAGCTAAAAATCTTCGGAATATATCACTGGAGAATGGGTCACTCATCTCTCTGCCGGGAGCATGCTGGAAGCGCATTCCAGCAATAATTTTGCAGCCCCAGCGCAAGCCAATGCCATTTCCCAGCTGAGAATGTTTCATTTAATATCCCAGGCCGAAAGAACTCCTGTTTATGGAAATATTTATGTTCTAACCAGCCCGCAAAGAAGACCGCTTTCCCGCCGCCGTAGTGTTGGTGCCATATGATTTAGTCCCACAATGACGTCACAGCGTCGCATTCCCAGAATTCAGAAATGCGGCGGCTTGGCGGCGGCCACGTTGAAGGTCAGGTGACGTCAGAGGGCAGGACGTGCCGAGTATTGCGGCACGCTTAACTTTCGCCATCAAATCTGCCGTGGACCTTGAATGGTTTGATCGGATTGTGAGCATGGGCGTAGGAACAGGGGGGAGGGGGGGGGGGCGGCAGGGGGCCGCGCCCCTCCCCCACTTTTGAAGGTGGGGGGCCAGCAATGTTAACTGCCCCTCCCCCCACTTTTCAGATTAAGGCTGCATTCGGCTTACTTTTGCACCACATTAAACATGCATGCCGATTTACCTAGTTCACCAGCCATGTCCCTTAAGATGCGTCATCTTTTTTGTTTGCTCATTGGCCATCACTTAATGTCACAGCCGCAAGACCGACGCCGCATGGCCTGGAGACTGCAACGCCGGGCGTCGAGCCTGTTATTGCTATGCCTTGCGAGCACGCATGCTCAGCACCATATTACGTAGCTTTCTTATCAGCGATCAGCTCTGACAGGATCTTGAGCATTATAAGACGAACATGGCCTAGCCATGTTAATGCATGTTATGAACCCCATTTCATCTGCAATCTACAGTCAGGGAGTGCCTAATGTCTCTGAAGAACACAGAAAAACATGGAACTGGAGTATATGTGAAAATTATCGGACTGCCTGCGGTGATCAGGGATCTTGTTGCGTCAATGAGGGTCCCTGTGCTGATCCGGGGCTAACTGCGCGGATCAGAAGGCCTCCCGTGTCAGGGATGGGCACAATGTGATATGATATATCCTTCTAATGACCTCCGGATCGACTATGAGATCCCGCCCCGTGCCACCAGAATGATAGCCAGAGGACACTTCGCGATGGGACGGAATGGCCCTTTAGCCCTTGACCGGAAACGGTAATGTACCCCTGGTATTCTAAGGAAGAGTCCCCTTGCCCGGAAGGGAATAAGATGTCTCATTATCGTTGAGAAGAGTGGGGCTCTCATTATTGTAGAAAAACACGGGTCGAAATGAATTTGGAAAAAACGAGCAAGATCATGCCATGTTGCCTGGGAACGTTCGTTTCTTTCAGAATGCATTATTGAAGCAAACTACATGAAAAGGCTCCAACATGCCCGTCCGCAACCTCGAGAGCAAGGACAGCAATGGTCTAGGTTGCAACTTCCGTAAAACCGATAAGTTTCGGCCACTGCAAGTGCCACCAGACGGCGGGCGCCGTGTTAATCTGTCTTCTGGACAGATAAATAGCTGCGGAAACACGAAAAATAGAGATTTTACGTTCACTTTTCCAGTTCAAACACCAGATTACAGCCGCACTTCGCGGTGCTTTAGGGGCCAATCCGTTCTTTTCATATATCTAAAAATTGCACGCGTGAAATATGCCCTCAGACTGCCTTCTAAATACAAGATCTGATGTCATGAAGCGCCCAAGGATACTTTATCAGGAGCGTCGTCATTTTCGCCCACCCGTTGGCCACAACTTAATATCAGCTGCCAAGACGACAATGCGCGGCCTACGAAGACTGCAACGCCTGGGGTCGAGGCTTGTGTTTCTAAAATTTTTGGGCGCGCATGCTCAAAATTACGCCACATAACTTGCATAACAAGTTGATTTAAGTGTTTAAAGGTAATCATTTCAGAAGTGTCATCATTTTCGTCCACCGGCGAGCCACGGCTAAATGTTAGCTACTGAGTTAACGCTACGCTGACTATGGAGACTGCAACGCCTGGTGTCGAGGGTTTTGTTGCTGAGATTTGCGAGCGAGCATGTTAAAGAACACGTTACATGAATTGCATCACTAATCGATTCTGACTGAATAGTGAGCATTTTCAGGCAAGCATGGCTTGGCCATGCTAATACACATTGTTGACCACTCGACTTGCAATTAAATTTTTGTCTTCAAATTTTGATCAAACATACCGATCCACAATCTACCTTTGCGATGTCCTCAATGCCTGTAGAACCCAGAAAAAAAATTGACAAGGCTTCTGAATTCTATCGCTTTAGAAAGAGTCAGCTAACCATTGTAAATTAAGAACGCCGGTGGTTTCTTCCATGCAGTCATTCAACGCCTGATTTCTGCAGCTTATTGACCTCAAAATGCAAACAGAATTGAGCTCACGGTAGCTCCTGGTTTCTGTTCTGGTTACAAGGTAAAAACAACAATAAAAGGAAGAAAACCGTGTCACTTGTCAACAAGTGAGACATATCCGGGGATTTGGGGGGGGGGGGGTCACCATAAGATGGGTTTTTGTCAACCCTATGTTCCCCCTTGGCAAGGCTCCGGCTACGCCCCCGCCTACACACAAAAGTAGATCAAGTCGCGTACGTTGCATGATGGGCAATGAAGTGTCCGTGTAGTGTGTCCATGTAGAAGTAACGCTCATCCAAAAGTAGGCAACAAAGTAGACACACGATCAGCTCGCAGTCAGTCATGCGGGAGACATCCAGGCCAGGGCAATGACCACCGACGGCGGACAGGAGCAGGGCCCAGGTAAGGATCATATGACAGATGGGCCTTATTATGTGCCTTGATTCTAAAAAGAGGATCTCCAGTTTTATGAATTTTGTCACATTGTTTCTAGGAGTTTCAAGCTCCCGAATTTGTTTCCGCCCAAAATGCTGCGACAAGTCTTATTTTTTCGAAAAGCAGCCAGTGAAA